TTAGAGTTATAAATAAGTCTAATAAAATAACTATTTATTTCAGTTATATTTCTGAAGTCACAGAATAATCGCTATTTTTATGTGAGACGTATATAAAACTCAAATAATAACTATTATCCCTCAAGTTTAAGAATTAATTCGAATTTTTAAACTTCAATGTATAAATAGTATTTTGGCATAATTGTATTATGTTTAGGAACTTTCTGAGATTTTTTGTTAATTAATAATAATGATTATTTTTGGTCCCTGGGTTTTCTAAGCTTACATTCAGTTCCCCTTTGAACATAATCTTTGCATTGGTCAGCACAATTCCGCAATTGTTCCAGGTCAGCTCCATTTCCTCGGTGGTGTTGTAGGGATCCAGTGAGGCATGGAGGAGTATGGTAAATCGCTTGGCTATCAGCGTCAACCGACCATGCAGAAGTAAACGGAGTTTGTCCCAAAAAGGCAACGGAGGCGAGGGATCCTTCGAGGGAGCCGAGATCTTCTCAAAGCTCAGATTGCACTGGGCCATCACAGGTTCCCAGCAGGCACCAAAGGCATAGCTACAGCTCTCCAGTTCGCAGTCAAAGTCGTGGTAAAACTTCAGCGAGGGCATGCTGCGTTGTATCACATTGGTGCCAAAGGGTTCACCCATCTCAATGAACACATCACGCTTGGCTCGCTTGGAGCCCATTTGCTCGGCTCCACAGAGATTGCCATACAGCCGCATGCTCTTCACACAGAACATGGGTTGCGGAAAGTCCCTGGAAATACAATTAAATAAAATATATATAATTTAAAAAAAGCCTTAGGCTTAACTAGAATGTGCCTGTTAAATCACTTTGGGTTTTATAATTATAAATATGTTATAAGTAAGAGTAAATAACACCACCCACCTTAGCATAAATTTCCATTCAGTGCAGCTAATGTTGACACCTCGACACCAGAGAGTGGAGAACTCCAGTCCCTCCTCCGGCCAGGGACTCTCGTGATCGATCTCGCGCATTATATGCGTCACATTATCGTAGCCATGTATGGAGGTGTCCGCCATGGCCATGATATTCACATCCGTCATGATCCAAGCCAGCAGGCGGGTGCGAACTGGCCCACTTTCGCGAATCTTCTTCGATCGTTGTATGTAGATCTCCGAGTTCTTCTTCACCAGATTGGCGTATAGACTCTCTATAGTTCCAGCTGGCACCAGCAGACGTTCCGAGCAGAGTTCACCGATCTTCTTATCGAACAGTGCCTTGCGCTTCAAGCTCTCCAGATATTCATCCACCAGCAGGACATAGTTATCACGAAGCTTGACCTCAAAGGGATCGTCGCTGATTTCCAGCAGGAACTCCTTGATCTTAATGACCAAATCACAGGGTAGCGGTGAGTCCACCGTAAATGGTTTCTTCTTGTAATTGTGAATCAGTTTTAGCCACTTGAAGTGGGAGACGCACTCGCCATTGATGGCATTGTAAAAGTCGTGGTCATATGGGAAAATAGCTTTAAAGGAGCCAATGGTGGTGACCCACACCTTATTAGAGGCCAACTGAAAGCCAGGAAAGTTTTGCCGTTCTTGGGTGAGTATCTCAAGTCGTGGCACCGACTGCAGATCCAGCTCCTTGACTGTAAAAATGTGCTGATCATCGATCTTGACAAACACGTTCTCCGCATAGATCATGCACCGCTCCTTCTGACTGAAGAAGAGACTCTCCACAAAGATCTGAATGGAGTGACGATCGGAAAACTTGATCTCAAAGATAGTGCTCCGTTCGGCAGACAGTTCCACCACGAGTCGCATTCTGGGAGTGGTTTTCTTCACCGGCGAAACTGGAATTGCCAACTCCGTCTTCAAGTCTTGCATGTCCCTCACCAAAGTCAAGAGGTGCATGTGCAAATTGGAGTTCCATGTGGCCTCCGTATTGCCGGGTATATAGATAGAGAGTTTTCCCAATGTACCCTGCATTGGTTCATGCTCCAGTCGGATGATTTTGCAATTGGCAAACACATCGGAAAAGTCGGTGAGACAAAGCGAAGAAGTGGTCAGCGAACGCATTATGGCCATCTGGAACTCCTCCAGCTTTAAGGTGGTCGAGTTTTGCGACCGCGACAAGTTAAGCTCTGAGAAACTGAGCAGCGTGTAAACATTGTGATGATTAACAAAATAAGCCGTGATATCCTTGACTTTGAGAGACACCCGCAGTGAGGTAGATGATGACTGTGATGGTGGCGGCACTGATAAAGTGAGTCCTGCATTCGGTTTGGCCTGCGTCTGTCCCGACATTCTCTTTGGTTCCATTCCCCTGTACTGCCTGAGGCACTCCATTGACTTGACCACAAACTCCGCCAACTGCATGCTGTATTCCGTGCGGAAAGTGTGCACTGATATGTCTAATTTAGTGGTGTTTGCATACGAGCAGAGCTTAACCAGGCTTACGCCCAGGAAAAAAGGGGAGCCAGGCGAGTGTGTTTTCTTTAGATTATTAGTGTCGTTGATGGAGTTCTTGAGGTTTGACCACAGCGTTTCCACCATCAGTTCCATGCTCCATTGCCTTTGATTCAGCAACAAGTTGAGGAACTTGTTCTCATAGAGATTACTTCGTTTCTCCTCGATTTGTTCCAAGAGGAATCTCGTGTGGCTAACACTCATGGCTATGTGCTCATCCTCCAGCTTCATTAGCAGTGAGACATTGAACAGCTCCGCACAGCCCTTGACCACAATCCGCTGCATAATCCATTCGAGAACTCCGCCTTCCCTTCGCTGATTCTTTTGCAGTTGGCTATCCACTGCCGCCGTATCCGGACACAAGTGATCCGGCAGAGATTTTTGCTTGTGTATCAGCTGCATGGGCTGAGATCCGCTCGATCCGCGTTGGCGAGCCAGGAAATTGTTGTTGACAAAGTCATAGATCTCGCTGTGGTTATAGATGATTTGGAATGTCTTCAGTTTGACATACAGATTGAAGATGTCTTTTTCCAGCTATACAAGAAGAATATTTATTATTATTACAAGCATAAATTCTGTTAAAGAAGGCGGTACTTACCACCGAATCTATGGTGAATTGTTCTACAAAGAGTAGCTTTTCATATTTAGTATCAATGTCTAGGTGCTGGAAACCCAATTTGGCCAGCATTGAAGGTAACAAGGTCTTTTCATCCGTGACTTTTGAGTTGAACTTTCCCGAAATCTGTGTGTGATAAGTAATAAATTAATAAATATTATTTAATCATGTAAGAATCTACCTACTTGAAACGACTGCAGCTTGGCGCTAAAATCGTTCTGTGAGTTTTCTTTGACGGCGGAGAATGTTGCCGCTCTGATGCTAAAGCTAAAGTTCTTTGGTATAATGGGCGCCAGCTTCTCGTAGTTGTCATTGTCATAGGACCTTTTGGAAGGAGCCGAGGCCTGCGTGGAACGTCGAGACTGCTGACCAGTTGATGTCCTTCGCTTGGCCTCACTGAGGAAATCGTACAGACCGCCATGGACCACTGACTTGGCATTGTTGATGACCAGACTAAGCGTCTAAAAATGGGATCAAAGATTAGTAGTAAGCTTAGTAGGCTTCCCAAATATATAAGACCAACTTTTAAAAGTGGTTACCAAACTGTGTTTGATTACTATTTCCATAAGCTAAAAAACCGTACTTACATCCATGGAGAGGGGTCCCTGGGCAAAGAGCGACGCATCCAGGGTCATATCGAAGCTAACCTCGCCCAGGCAGGGACGAATCTTGTTCAGATTCTCGAGGGATTGGCGGCGTGAACTGCAGTGCCTCAGCATCTTCGCTTGGGCTTCGCTGAGAGCCGCATTTACCAGCAGGACACGGGCATTCTGGACGATGCTCCCGTCCAGATGGAGTTCCTTGGCCGTGGCATGAATGAACCAGCCCGGATCGAAGTCATTGTTCATCAGCACCACTGATATGTTGTTTATATGCACGGCCATGAATTGGGCAAATGTGATGATGCTGGCTGGGACCTTGGTTTGCCGGAAGTCTGGGACACCCTTGGGCTTGCTATCTGATCCTTGAGAGCTCCGCCGGAGTTCGTAGAAGTCCTCGGCTGTGTCATCTTGCCTGCTGTGTATATCCTTATTTATCCGTATATCGCGGATGTAAATGGAGAGCAGCTTGGTCACCTCGGTGGTGAAGAAACTGCTGCGCAGACACACCTCCTCGATTTGCTGGAAGAGATTGGGAGAGGCTTTATCGCTTGGCAGCCCAGAGATTAAAGGTTATCCCACATACCACCGAGAATCCACTCTTGCTGATGTGCACATTCTTCAGCGACAAATAGGGCAGCGAGATGCGCCCAATTCGTACTTTGACCCGGAACCTCTTCACCAAATACCAGCTAATGGCCGTGGGCAAGACCCTAAAATGGAAAATTATTATCAAATTTAACAACTCATATCGATGATGGTTCAATTATGGAGGGGCCCAACCCTGACGGAACTTACCAATAAACGTTGATGAAGAGCACCAGGCAGAAGAACAGCAGCTGTAGCATCATGTTGGAGTCTCAGTTGTCATAGTGCTCCCTCATTGAGGTTGTATTATTAATGCTTTTAAATGTTATTATAAAAAATTAAATACTGAAATTTACTAGTTGCGGGAACAAAGTGACCATATATAAAAAGCTCAAAAATACCATTACTGTTGGAATCCGATATTTATGAATTTAACCCTACTAACTTGACACAATCTAACCCTCGGCTACTTGACAATTTAAAACAGCCAAAATAAAAACAACTTTTGAAAGTCATAAATTGAAATTAAGCGATAAAACAAACACATTCATATCTTTATGTAAAATATAAAAACTAAACTCATCATTACCGATTATGAGAGTTTAATTTAAATACTTTTACGTTTTTCAATATTTAAAGTGAAATAACAATAAATAGCAATAAAGCACAACTATATTCTCACAATTTGAAAATTAACATTTTAAACATCATCATGGCCGCTTTAAAGCTACAAAGCCCATCGAGGGTTAAACATAATTCAAACTTAGGCTTTCCACACACGGTCACACTGTGGCTATACATCTTCAAAACAACAAATAAAAACATTAAAAAGTTATCTTATCGCCGCTGCCCGCGCCTGATTTTGGATTGTAAGCATGCCAGCGTGAAACCAGTAACCAAAAACCGCGATGTTGCTGTTGGAGCTGAACATTCTGACCCTCAATATTTGGTGAGGTGATCTCTGAGCTCCTTTTGGGGTGCTCCATTGTAGAAGGTGCTCCATTGACCCCGATCTGTATATGTACAAATTGCAGGGGCATTCCGTATGTGTCTAGTGATCGCGGGCCGCGAATCGATGCCATCTGCAAGGAGCTGGCCACCGGGAAGTATGACATTGTGTCCCTGCAGGAGGTGTGGGCCCAGCAGGATAGCGAGCGGCTGCAGAAGGGCACGGAGGATGTCCTGCCCCACAGTCACTACTTCCACAGCGGGGTAATGGGCGCTGGTCTGCTGGTGCTGTCCAAATACCCCATCCTGGGCACGCTGTTCCATGCGTGGTCCGTCAACGGCTACTTTCATCGCATCCAGCATGCGGATTGGTTCGGCGGCAAGGGTGTGGGCCTGTGCCGCATCCTGGTCGGTAGCCAAATGGTCCACCTCTACAATGCGCACCTGCATGCGGAGTATGACAATGCCAACGATGAGTACAAGACGCACCGCGTCATCCAGGCCTTCGACACTGCTCAATTTATCGAGGCCACCAGGGGCACTTCGGCACTGCAGATCCTCGCGGGTGATCTGAATGCCCAGCCGCAGGATATCTCCTACAAGGTGCTGCTCTACACATCCAATATGCTCGACAGCTGCGCCTCGGACTCCTTTCGCACCAACGAATGCCAACACAACTCGTACACATCCAAGCAGGCGCGGGAGCGGAATCCTCAGGGCATACGGATTGATCACATCTTTGTGAGAGGAGGAGATCATGTGAATGCCGAGATAGTGGAGTACAAGCTGCCATTTCCGGAACGTGTGCCCGGCGAGAAGTTCAGCTTCTCGGATCACGAGGCCGTGTTGGCCCACATACGGTTATCCAAGCTGACCGAGAGGAGAGCGGAGGAGCCAGTGGCCACAATCGAGGTGAACTGCCAGGTGGCGGAGAATGATGGCGATAGCTGTGTTGTAAGGGAACTGGGAGCGGGCGATGCTCAGGCAGGAGAGGAAGAGCAGCAGCATCCAGAGATCCAGTGCAATGGCTCCAGCTCCACTTCCATCCAGACCATACCCGCTGCCCGAACTGCCGCCCTTCACGAAGCTCTGGCCCTGTGCGATGCTTCCCTTCTCCAACTTAACACGGATCGCATTCTGTACTACAGTGCAGCCACCTTCCTGTTCGTCCTCCTCGTCCTGCTGGTGGAGTTCACCGCCCCCGTGGGCATGCGCACCATCTTTCTGCTGCTCAAGTTCATCGTGTTTGGCGTGATCATTTTCTGCGTCTTCATGGCCTCCATTTGGAACTATATGGAGAGGAATGGGGTGCTGCAGGGCAAGAAATCGATGGAGGTGATGCTGTTCTCGTACCAGAAGTACGAGTACTTCTACTGAAGCTGTCTGAAGGAGCAGCCTCGAGCTCAGTGCGCATTTAAAATCCATGTGTACCCTAGATTAACAAACGTTGTATTGTCTTTGACTAAAGTGTGTATTTTTAATATCTGACTATATTTTACGAACTGTAATATTTCAATGCAATTCCATGGTCTCTTGTTTGTGTAACGTCATCCATATCCCAGGAATTATAGTTCAATAAAATTAAACACTTAAAGAATGTGTCTTTAGTTGCATCTATATGGCATAAGGTATTGCGTAACGATTTAAACAGGAATGATTAAACAGGAGAAAGAATGTTTATTAAGGTACAACTGCGGTCAAAATATAAGTAGTGAAACAATTAAGTGCTCTAGTAATTTATTGTAATGCTAACTTAACAACAAACGAATTAAGATTGTAAAAAACCTTTAGCAGTTCAAGAAAGTTAAAACCATTTAAAAAATGCACTTCAAATCAGTTTAATAAATTAAAAAATTATTTAAAATAAAATCTTCAATCGAACTTAAAAAAAATAATACCGAATAGCATATTTTTATATTTTTTCCTATTTAGTGTTCAATTTTTATTGCCTTTTGCATAAGCTAAGAAAAAATTATTATTTTGACCGCAAGTCAACATTCGTTAGCAATCATTTTATTTATATTTTTATTGTTTTAATGAATTAAGAAAGTTGAATTAAAATCTTAAGCACAGCAGAGCTAAATGGGTCAACAACCTACTTTTGAGATTATAGAAGGTTGATATCTGTGTATGGTATTCACAGTTCAGGCCTTAAAGTATGCTTCACTTCCCTCAACAAAACCATTTCCCACATATTAACACAGACATTAGCTTTAATATTAGGGTGTTTTTAACATTTTTTCTTTATTCTCGAGTAGAAAACAGCTCCGCATAATCCCATCTGGTACAGTTTATTCGGGCTTCTTTCCCTTAGCGAGCTCGGCCTTCTTTCCCTTGACGGGGGCAGGCTTCTGGGAGCGCAGGACAGCAGAAGCACGGCGGAGAGCAGCCTGAAAACACAAATAAATTCATTAGAACAAAAGCCAATCAAAGGATTACTAGACTATAAGCTAAGTGAGAACCTCAGATAAGTTTATCAACACGGATCATTCTGCGATCTTGGTTGTGTAGCATTAAAAAAAAGATCATCATAACAAAAAGCAAATGGGTTTTTGCTGGTGCTTTAAAGGTATTTACCTGTGTCAGGTCCTTGCGGTATTTGGAGCCGATGAGCAGGTTCTTCAGCTTCTTCAGGGAACGGCGGGGACCGGCCTTGAAGTCAACACGCACGGTGTTCTTGGCGGGACGCTGGGCATACTTGCCCTTCTTCAGCACAGCGGTGAAGCCCTTCTTGTCGGCGGCGGGCACGACTCCCACGGTCTTCTTGTGTACGATTCCGCTGTAGCGGTACGAGCTCACGCTGGCCAAGTTGTTTGGCTCCTGAAAAAGTTAATGCCATAGGTCAGTTGGATTGTTTTAGTATCTTAGAGAAAGAATGTACGTTCTCAACTTTTGTCAGATTAATGTTACTATCAAGTTGTATTCAAATATCATTGTGAAAGTTGTAAGTTGGAAACATCATTGTACATAGAAGGTTTAGTACCACGTTTATAGACTGGATCAATTTCTTTCATTTTCTCTTTACTGTTTCTTCAAAACTGGGTAGGTTCTATAAACGTGGTTTCATGTATCATATTATAATATTTACTTACTGTGCTGAAGGGCTTGGCAACATCGCGCTTCTTCAACAAGAAGGCGTTGTTGTTGCGAATGATCAACCAATTGAGGTGCGAAGAGGTTGCCATCTCACGTCTGTAAAGAATTAGATAAATTAATTAGTAATTACTCAAGATCACTTAAGAATTCTATATATTTGTTGGGTATTTCAGTTTTGGGTAGTGAATATAGTCTTCAAGAACTCTTCTGCTAAATCAATCCTCATTAAACAAAACTGAAGTGCTCAAATTGGTTTTTAGTGCTTACCTTTATAAGAAAATCACCAAGTAGACATGGAATGAAAAGAGAAAAGGATGATTAGATTACGTTGCTTTATAATAAAACTGCAATAGTTCTTGGTATATTTTCAGTTTTGGGTGATGAATATAGTCTTCAAGAACTCTTCTGCTAAATCAATCCTCATTAAATTAGAACTGAATTAGGCAAGATAATTTTTTGAATGCTTACCTTTATATGAAGAACAACAGATGGACGATCCATAAAGGGTCAGCATGGAATAAAAAGAAAGTAGGTGATTAGAAACAGAAGATTTTGTATTACAAGATAATTATATCTTGCGTTATATTCAGTCTTGGGTGATGAATATAGTCTTCAAGAACTCTTCTGCTCAAATCATTCATCATGAAAGAATAAATCAGGCGGTTTTAGACCACACGTGTTCTTACCTTCATAGAAAAAAAATCCATGTAAAAGGACGGCAGGAAAACAGCATGTAAAGAAAGGGGGGAAAAAGGATATTAGATTTCGGGTGCAACAAAAAACTTAGCTTAGTAAATTGAATTGGTAGAATACACATATTAACTTAAAAAGTCCGGCCTAGAGTCACAACTAAAACTACACATTTTTTGTATCACTATTTGCCCGCTGTGTCGCACGTGTGGGTAAAACTCAATTTACCTCCGAAGTTCAGCGAGTCGGCGGTAAAAATGACGGAACCACGTGGGGCAGACATTATGCCTCAACACATTCGTAGCGTTTAGAACGCTGCGGGAACGCTAGAACTTAACCAAATCGAGACTAAACGCAAAATGCCCACCTTTTCTCGTTGAAAGACAAGCAGGAAAGAAATATGGCAGCCCGGCATAACGCGAAGTTGGCTGCGCTTGCCGAAAACACAGGGTTGTATTTGAGCCAAGCGAGTTGGCAGGCCTTCTATCGATAGAAAACCGACATACCCAAACGACGTTGCCACCAAGTCAAGTTTTAAACTCAGTTTCTACTGAATAAATCTTATTGTTTTTAACTATTTTATTGTTTTTATAACATCCAAAAATCCAAGTCTATGCTTTATAAGACATTTTTTGAAACTGTCCATGGAGTGATCCTTACAAGTAAGCTAGCGCTCAACTAATATTAGTGCATTAAAATTGTATTTTGTGGCGAACAATTTTCTACGTTATTTTAGTTGATTAATTTTAATTCTTTAAATTAACGGTATAAAAATGGTACATCTCAAAACCCGAATTGGTAGGTGTTTTTTTGGCCGGTTGGTATTTTTATAGTAATCGGTGCGGTCACACTGCTTGTCAGACACATTTCCGAAAAACTCACTCAGTAAAACGTTAAATTAAAAGTTCAGATATCAACAAATCATTTCAAAAAGTTTTTGTTTTAGGCTGTGGTTTGTTTTTATTGTCGTATGTCCATCCAGAATTTAAACACTCGTGGTAAGTATCGGGCAAACCAAAGAGTTTTCCCCGACTCTTACACATGTACATAAAAATGGCTGCCTGCTCGTCATCATCGCACTCGCACGCATACACACACACAAACGCACGCCCGCACATAAGACACGCTGCAAGGGTGTGATTACACATTACATCTATCTCCATTCGGATTCGCCCCGATAATAATCCATAATCCCAATAATCAATCCAATCTTCCTGCCTTACAGACCCCTTTGCTGATGCAATCAAGGGCAATGATGATGATATTCAAGACGGGCTAGTGCACATAAGAATCCAGCAGAGGAACGGTCGCAAGACACTAACCACTGTCCAGGGCCTGTCCGCGGAGTATGACTTGAAGAAGATAGTCCGCTCCTGCAAGAAGGTCGGTTGTGGGTTAATCCCCATATGTCCCCATTGATCCCCAACTTGAAACAATACTGTCACAGGAACTATTTTTGTTCGTGTTTGTGAACACTTTCCGCTTACAGCTGCGGTCAGCGAGATACGATACGTTAAAACCAATATTTCTACCTGCTTAATCTCCAGTAATACCCAAATTTTCAGATCCACTTAAAGTACAGCCTTTATGAACCAATGTAAATATTGAAAGAAGTTAGGGATGCACAAAGTCTCTCCTAATACACAATAATACACAAATATGCATTAATTTATTCAAAAGATAGTAGGATTTGTTTTTAATTCTGGCTGTAGAGATAAGATGTATACAATTGCCATTTATCTGTTTAAACAATCCAGTAATATCTGAGTCCTTACGTCCACTACCTAAAAACCAATGTAAATATCAATAATTTTATATGTTCCTATTTATTCCAAAGATAGATAGATTTATATTCCGTCTTTAGAGATAGGTTGCATAAAATCACCATATCTATCTGCTAAATATTATCCAGTTATAGCTGAATGTTTTTGTGCACCAACTTAAGTTACAGGGATTTTATTTCGATCCTGTATCTAAAGATAGTATTAAATGTTTATTGGGACACGTAAAACCAACTTTCTACCCGCTTAGTCAAATAATTTATTTGCTTTTAACCTATAGTGTTTTATGAACCAGTTATTTGTTAGATCCAATGAAGTTTAAAGGCATCGGTCTTGAACTGTGAATTTACCATTCTATACATAAAATCAATAAATCAAGAAAATGTGTAGTTCAAACAACAAACTCTGAGAACAGCTGTACATTATCAAAGAAAATAATTGATTATTCCCGTCCATTACTTAGATAGTTTTAACTAGCTAGGTTTATAGATATGAATTAAGTAGTATTCCGGCAGTCTTGTAACAAGTGAACGATTTCAACCCAAATAACTAATATTTCAATCCTTCGCAGGAATTCGCATGCAATGGCACTGTAATCGAGCACCCAGAGTATGGTGAGGTCCTGCAGCTCCAGGGCGATCAGCGTGAGAACATCTGTCAATGGTTGACGAAGGTGGGACTAGCTAAGCCGGATCAGCTCAAGGTGCACGGCTTCTAGGCGGACGAACAAACAAAACGGTGTGAATTATCATACTACTATTTCATTCTTAAGCTCTTCAACAACACCCCAAAACTTGCAAAAGTTCTTTGTTCCGATTTATTCAAACACTCTTGATAGAACATTTACATGAATACTGAAGCAATAGACCATTAACTGAGAACAATGTTATAAATAAAATTAAATGTTCAATTTAAATAAACGAACGTGTGCGGGCGCTGTCGTAGCATAATGGGACGAAAATTTAGCATTTGTATGTATTTACTGCCTCTGAATTGTAAGCAAAGAAATAAGTTGGAGATAATTTTG